TTTTAAAGTTAATAATTTGTTAAAGGTATCCAACTATTAAGATACATCACAAAAAGTTTTCCAAAATAAAAAAAAAAATTCCTTTACTACAGGAATACTTTTAAATGAATGGCATTTTGTTTAAAAATGGGAAATACTATTCTTTAATAATTATGTTCTTAAAATCAAATTTTTGTGTAAAGTAAAAGTTGGCAACAGTAAGGCGAATGAATTGATTGTTTGGAAACACGTGTCTACATTTATCATATGACTATGACGTCATATAACATTAGCCTCTTTTAAATATTATGGAAACATTTCATTATAAGCGATTCAACCAAGGTAACGTCGAGTGTTAGCGTCTAGCCAATCAGTCTTCCTCGCCCGAGAAGAAGTCTCTGATTGGCTGACGCTAACACTCGACGTTTACGCCTTGGTGTGAATGAAATTTAATCTTCATCTAACGCGATCATTTGTTATTGCAATTAATCATTTTACGGAACTACCCAGTTTTTTTTATTATTTTTAAACAATAATTTAATATTAAAAATTCACCTTGGATATCTTTACATCCGGACTAATTAAATTTTTCTGCTGGTTATACCTCAGATAATTTTTTACGGTCGAATTTTTAACCCTTCAAGCGGTCTGCACGTAAAATTCCGCCATTCCAGAGATGCTTTTTCTGCCTTCAAGCAAGATTCCCAAAAGCGGTCGAGCCACATTCTTAAAAATACGGTTCAACCGCTTTTGAGAACCCCACCTGAAAGCAAAAAAAATATGTACGGTGCATTTTTGAAGCATCTCCAGAATGGCAAGACATTAAGTGCAGACCGCTTAGAGGGTCAAATCCCAGCCATTTTACAAGTTAAATTAATAACTTAATTATTTTAAGACTTTGAAAAAGTTCAATAAATACTACAATTCAGAGCGGCACACTCAGAAATTTTTCAAGAGTCGAAAGTCCACTATTCTGACTATTCTGGTATCCTGCTCCAATACGCCGCCCAACATTTTCCTTTGATTTGTTGATTTTCGGAAACAAAAAACAGAAAAAATTAATTATTGAAAAAATAATTAGCATTAACTAATTAAATTTATTATTAAGAACAAAAAATTAAATCTTACGTACTATATACATAGAATTATAATCAATTGAAAAAAATCAAGGGCTATGGGGGGTTCGGACCCGAGGATTCCCCCCTCCCCCTTGTGTACGTCACGGCTGTGATTAGAAAAATACACCGGTGCTCAGTTTTTGATGTATGGAATTACAAGAAAAAGCGCGAGTGACTTTTTTAATAAAGCCGATAAAATAAACTTTGTAATCATATGATTTGAAATCATGCGAATAAAAAATGTTCATTCTCATAAAATAAAGGAAATTCAATCATTTCCTTCATATTGCGCATGCGTCACATGAGCCTTTAAAATTTCAAAACAAGGTTAAGTGTAGAAGTTCAGTAGAGAGTTATGAATTTTGATCCAAATAAACCTGAAATTAATCGAAATAGATGTTAAAAGAGCTTAAATTAATTAAGTCAGACTTTATTATACGTAAGGAGAAGTCAGAAAAGAGCCGCATAATTAATTTACTTAGTCACCGGTGCATTTGTTTTGAACTGGTAATTAAATCAAAACCAGGAAAATAATTTTTATTTCGATATAATCTGAAAGAATCCGATTTTAAATTTTAATATTATTTGATTTGAAAACATTAAATAGGATAATGAAGAAATTTTCTTTTTGAATGACTCAACAATAAAAAAAAAGCATGAGCACAATTTCATTTCTAGTAAAAATCTTTCTGGGTCTATTTTATTTTTGGATTTGTCAATTGCTAGTTCATGCGGAACTCAAAGTCGAGCAATTTTACTGGTTTTTGGTAAACAGTTAAATGTTTTATATCTCTAAAATTAAAAATAAAAGCATTCTTTTTCAAATGGGCTGCATTTTGACATAAGCCTTTGCCATGTGCCAAATGCCCAAATGGGAAAGCCATTTCATTGGTGGCACCATCTAGTGGTGGATTCCGTAAACCAATTGATTTAATCAAGCTCTCATCGAATCTAAATACTGCCATGATTTAATTTTGCCGAGAGTATCAGAGCCAAATTGATACTCAAAAGATTTTTTACATGCCGCATAATCATTTGAGATGTGTGCCTACGATTTTTGCATCCAAGAAATTTAGCGACTCCAGCCGGGATCGAACCCGAAACCTGAGGGTCACGAGGTGAGTATGCTACCTCAAAGCCACCGAGCCAATAATATAAAGGATTCTTTCTTTTACAGTTTTTATAAATTTCTTACTATATATATAATTCATCAAGATCAGAAATATAAACTGTAAGCGCAAAATAAATTTAATGTACGAGTTGGCATTCACACATTTTTAAAAAATGCATTCGGACCTCCATTTAACAAAGTACTAAATCCCGAAAAAAAAATTCGCTAAATGGAAAATTCGTTACATAGAGGTTCATTGTTCAACATACTTTATAAACCAAATAAAACAATTTTTTAAAATTCATAAACACTATATATTTAAAAAAATTAATTATTCACACCTTTTTGTAAATTAATATAGAATTATTTTATACACCTTACCCATCAAAAAAATTAGAAAGGAAAACTGCAAGGAAAACAAGAAAAAAGAATGTCGAGGAATATATTCTGTATTTTCAACAAAAAGAAAATAATTTTACATTAAAATTAATGAACTTTAAGGACATTTTTCTAATTTAAGGCATACAAGTAATTTTAAACATACATTATTTTATAACTAGAAATTCTAAACATACATTACCACATGTGTCCTTAAATTTAATTACTCATAAAATCTATTAATTTCGTTTGAATTTTTTTTTGTGGAAAAATGCTTTATTTTACAATACACCTCACATCTTTACAATGCACCAAAAATTCCTTCATTCGTATTTTTTGTGTATTTTTTTAAATTTTTCTAGCCATCCATTGTTACCAAGAAATTGGTCGTATCCCAATGTCTTCGCAAGTTGAAAAGTTTTCTCTATTACGAAAAGTCTAGAGATCGGATCATTTTTATCTCGCATTGTGTGTATCCCCTTTAAAACTGATTCGTCGACATCTTCATAGACACATGTTCTTCAACATTTTGAACAAGAATCCGATGAATCATAATTTTGTAACTTATCTCGATTTTTTATAATAGTTGATAAGCTGTTTGGAGGAATACCAAATTTTAAAGCAATAATCCTTTTTCTTGACGTTTTCATCCACTTCCTAAAGAATAAATTTTTTTTGTGTGATGCTCAAGCACTTACGTTTTGACATTTTAGAGATACAAGTAACGACGTTACCAGTATGACTGATCAACACTCTAAGAGAACAGAGACTAGTTCAAGGACACGGGGACACGAGACAACTCCACTGAGGGTGAAAGGGGATATCGAAGATGTTTCTAGTGAACTGGACGGTTGGGGGTTAAAGGTTGCACTTCTTCAATGAAATGCCCAAAATTCTATTGCTCTTAGGCGAGTTAGGCACCTAATAAAACCAGTTCAAGATTTATGACCACCATTAAATGTATTAAAAGAGAGAATAACTTAAAATGTCCAGAAATACTGGGGAAAAAACAAAAAAAAAATTGAATCACTAGAGAAAAAAGTTTGCTATATAGGAAATGCACTTCGCTATTGGGAGATTATTTTACGAAGAAAATCGTGAAATATTCTTCACTACAGAAAAAAGTTCGCTATATAGAAAAATTCGCAATATAGAGGTTCGTAATATGGAGGTTCGACTAGTATTTATATGTTTTAAAGATGTAAAAAAACACTTAAGCAGCAGCAAAAAAATAAATTTAAAAAAATACATGCGTAACTTTTTAATTATTACACTGGTTCAGTAAAGTCAATTTTATCGTTTTAATATTCGAATAAACTAGATATATATATCAATGAAATTCTTTTAACTTCCTTTTTTTAAAATAATGTATCAGCTGACAGTCACACAAATGCCCTCATTTTCATATTCGTCTTTTAACCCCTGTGTAATAATACATTTAATTGAGACATCATATACATTATAATAAGTAAAGTTAATTACTACAAATCCTGAAGGATTATTTATATTTTCTAAGAAAACCATACTTGATAACACAAATCATTAAAAATAAAAAGGTATTGTACAGTAACGAATACGAATTTTACACCAGTACATTCTTGATTAAATGTGTAGTTGTAGAATTATCGCGCACAGTTTCCTGAAAATCTAATATTAGAGCTAATATTTTTAATCCTTCCGATTAGAACAATTTCCTATTTTATAGAAATATTTTAATTATTAAAGACAGTTAAAATGGGAAGTACTACGCTTTGGAGCATTAGTAACAAATGCATATGCTAATTTTAAAACTTGTTCTCTATTGAAATCTTCCTTGATATACTACACGTTTTAAATGGTTTATTTAAAATTATTAGAGATTATCCGTTAGTTATATTTGAGATTCACGTCAGACTGACCACCTGACCGGAATATCTGCTCATGCACCTCAGGGTCCTAGGTCGCGTATACTGAGTTGAGAACAGTAGGCCTTGGCCCTCATGGGCTTTCGCGCCACTGAGGAGAGTTAAGTTTATACTTCAGTTAATTTCTCTCTGATATCAAAATAGCTAGCAATTTGTTTAAATTCTATTGATTGTTTATTAACGCACTTATAACATCTCTAATAGAAGGATTTGAAGACGAAATACATAATTTTTAACCCGTTCAAATGACGAGGATGACACCCGAGATAACAGCTCATGCTTTAAACTTCTATAACTCGCCAGTTGTTGTTGCTGTTGACGTGTAATTTTTATCCTGGGAACATATGAAATACAAGTGAAGAACAGAAAGCATACAATACAACAGAAGAATATACACATTTATTACAGATGATGATACCAGCATATAACAAGGGGTGCGCTGCTTTCCTTTCGAGACGGGAATCCATTACAGGCGAAAGACCGACTTCTTTCCCGAAGAAGATACAACCATGTCTTACTCGGGATTAGAACCCGAACCCACTCGGTTACCAGCCGAAAGTCATAGCCACCCTACTGGCTGGGCAACCATCTCGCCAGTGTGAGAGTTTTAATCCCCTACGGATTAAATGACCATCATTCTTGCTTCACGACGAATATTTCATGATATCAACACTCAAACATGACACAAAGGCAACAACGGCGTCTACGACCTCGCAACCATGAGATGAGAGAGGGAAAAAACTCGACTACCATGGCTACAGATCTTTCACGATTGATTGGTTATTGACTAACGTGGCACTTCAAAGGAAAATAAGAGTTAATGGAGACAGAGACTTTACGATTTTGACCCACGGTCAAGCGACAAGAACACCTGATCCCTAATATTTATTATTTTTTTACTTTATTATAAAATTAAAATTAAAATAAGCAGGGGCAAAATAATATTTGTAAGGAACAAAATATATTACACATGAGAAATATATTTTTTGTGATGTTCAATCGTATGCTATCATTGGAATATCAAGTTCTTAAAAATAACAAAATGAGGTTAGGAAGGGAATTTATAAAAGGATACATTTATTATTTATTGATTATTTTAAAATCTAAGTGTTAATATTTGATTTTAAAAATTTCCAAATGATGAAGTAATTTAAATGGAAATTCAACTTTGAGCATTTGACACAATTCACTGAATTAATTTGTTTTCATGCTGCTAATTCAACACAAAAACATAATTTTGGTACGAATATCGTACGGAGGGAGTGAGGGAATATTAACGCCACACACCATTCAGCTACTCGAGGGCTACTGAAGACGGACCTCGTAATTTTGAATCATGGTCAAGTGACGAGGATGACACCTGAGCTGGCCCCTCTCTCTCTCTCCTAACTTCCACAAAACACTAGCGGGTGGACATTTAAGCTTCGACATATTTAAAGTGCATCTGCTCTCTTTGCACGGTGGGTCTTCAGCGGTACTAGGCTCGAACTCATGACACGCTGGCCACGTCTCCGTTACCTTGACCACTAGGCTACCGCGGTACGAATATAGTGTGGAACACAATGCAATTTCATACAATTTTATTTGAGAACGGTAACTAATTCCATAACCATGCGAGTTTTTTGAATAAATCTCTACCACAAAAGTTCTTTATTGGATATATCTGCCTTGATTTATTGGATGCAATTCATGCAATTATGCATTATGCAATTTCATACCTTAAAAGATTTGACAAGTTAAATTGAAAAATGTAAAAACACAGCTCTAAGTATTTTATTATTAATTGTAATCTGTATTACACTTAATGCACCATTTTTGTGCTTTACTAAATATATTCCGTTTCATTTAAATATTTATATTTTAAACTAATAAAGATTTAATGCTATTCCGAGATTTATACATATCATTCCTTCCATTCTATAAGCAACAATTTTGGGATTAAATATTTATAAACAATAATTATTCCATCATTATTAAACCAAGAATTTTACTTAATAAGGAATGATATATAACTAGATAATATATTCATAAAGAAAATATTTAAATCATAACAAATGAATGCATAACAAGAAAAAATTATAAAAGTATAAAATCTCACAATGAATTCGCGAAAAAATGAATTTATCCTCACTTCAAAATAGTATCTATTACAAGTGTATTTTAATATTTATAAGAAAAGGCAGTATTGCAAATATTTCTTATTACAATGCCATTTATGTAACGCAACCTGATAAAGAACCTAATAAGAACAGCATATTTGTGAATAAATTGCTTGTTGTTCGCTTTTCTTCTTAATACCAGTTCAAGCCTCAAAGAAAAATTTTAATCAAAATCTGATTAATTTTTTGTTGCTTCACTCGAAACCTCTTTCTTTTGCTTTTCCACAACCAATCCCAAGCCTTAACCAAAAATGATACAAACAAAAATACTCCGAACAACATCCCAATAGTCTTGGCGTCTCACTTTTGGAATTGGATCACGTATTAGTTCCACCTTGTATTTTTCCATCGCCAATTTTTTTTCTTCCTTTCCATTGCCAACTATCTTACACAAACTTCTCCTTCAACAAAGCCGTAATGAAGAGCCGTTGCAAAGCCTGTCTTAATCACGACCGCGCACAAACTTGTCCGAATCGCAATTCATTCGTAACAGCTAATGCCGGAATTCATATGCAAATTCCTTACATCTTCTTTAAAAATCATATTTTGTCGAAGCCGTGGCTGTGTGAGATTGCCGCGATACTGTATTCAATTACAAGAGAAGAGACCAAGGTTTCATCTTCTTCTAGAAATTTTCTCTCGCACCTTCCTTCCCAAAGCGCTCTCGACCGTTTCTTTTCAAATAATAAACTGACAAAAGCTCTTCGTAATAAAGATCTTTTTAATAAAGCTTTTCTCCACCAGGAGTATGTTTAAGCTGGGTAGTTGTGCCTCAGATAACGGCACGACTTCTTTTGCCTTTCTCTATCCATCTCTCTATCCGTTCCTTTACCTTTTTTGTTTTTGTTTTATTTTATTTATTTTTTTTACTGCCAAGGAAAAGTTTTCAGGGGGAGTGTTTCCACTGCCGAGTTTTTATTTCCACCCTTCTTCTTTTACCTCCCTTCCTCCATCCCCTCTTTCCTTATTCTTTCGTTTATTTATTCCTTCGAAATATAGGAAGAAGAAGACGAGGACTTTCCGGAGAGTGTGCGAGTGTGTAGGGGTGGAAATGCCTTATCTCCTGTACTTAATTCGCCTGCAATATGCGAGAGAAAAGGAAGGAAAAAGGGAGTGAGAGAGAGGAAGGTGGGCAGGCAAAAGGAGGGGTGGTCTTCCATAAAAAGAGTGGTGCCAGGCCCGACTAATGGGAACCCCGCAGAAAAGCCTCGTGATGGCCCCAGTTGCATCTGCATCGTCTGCAATGACATCCCAAAAAGGAACTGGAAAGGGGTGAGTGGGAAACGGGGAGGGATATTCAAAAGACGGGAAAGGTTCGAAGAAAGAAATAAAGTATAAAAAGGGGGGAGGGAAAAGAAGAAGAAAGTTGGCCCCGAAATTTGCATAGGATCGTCATTTCGGGCAGCCATCTTGTCCCGGACCCATCAACGTGGGAACTGGAAGATGATTTGCATCAGAAAAGGAAGGGAGTAAAAAGGGAAGGAGGGAGGGTAGTAAAAAAATGAAATAAAGCAGCAGAAGTAGAAGGGGCCACCCTATCCCCCCTTCTAGCGTGCCGGGTGGTGTACGTGTATACTTTATCTCCCTATGTGTATGTGTGTAAGCGACGCGCATGATGGTGGCATTCTATTGCCAAGTGAAATGCCAAATCACTTACAGGTGCTACATTCCTTGGCGCCTCAGCTTCTTTTTCTGACAAAGATCCCTTTACTTTTTTTATTTTTCCTTTTTTTTCCCTCCAGAAAACTGCTCAACTGGGTGATTTATCATCGCGAAACTTTCGCAATTAAAAAAAAAGAATGGTAGAAAGAGATGGCATCAAAACAATTTTCACTAACATCAATCTAGATATAATATTCCGCCGTCTAGCTTCGTGGCAGACGGTTTGGCTCGAAGTTGATAAATTTTTTTCTAAGACAAATCCTTGGCGAAGAAGAAGTATTTAGGGAAAGATATTGTAGGAAATAAAACTTATGCACCACAGCCAGCCGAAAAGGCTCTTTAGACAATACGAAAACTCCATTAGGTATGTCTGCGAAACCGGATTTATACGTCCAATCTTAATATATCAGACGGATAGTAATAGTGAGTGTATGCTTAGGTTGAAATGGGAGATCTCTGTAATGGTAGATGTGTACTCTACGGTGTAGTTAAGGAAAAAATTGTTTTTGAGTATATAATTAGTTTGTTTTGTGTGTGTGTGTGAGATATATATCTCAAAAAAAAAAAAAAAATCCCATTTTGGAATGATGCATCTGAGAGCTTTTGCAGCATTAATATCGTTACATTGTTTATAGGATTATTTTTATATAAATTGAATAGTTACGATTTTTAGGGGGAAAGAAATTTTTTGGCTTGTTATGAAATAAAAATTCCTTATTTGAGATTTTTCACATATTCAGAAATAGTATCTAATAACGAGTTTTTGTATATTGTTTGTTAGTCACTCAAACCAATAAAAGTTTAATCTCACTTTAAAAAATCCTTAATCAAACGAGATACTTTCAGAAAGTAATTTCTGGTTGTTGTTTTTTGTCTCAAAAAGCAAAAATACGTCGGTTGAGTGAGCAGAGACGTCTTAAGACATGGACCAATCCTGTCCTGGGCCCCTCACTATACGGGGGGGCCTCTGTCTCTGTTTTTTGATTAGATCTTAACTCGAATAATTTCAACGGTCAAATGTTTCTTCCGCTTGCATTATCCGAAAAACTGGGAATATCGGACAATATGTCATCTGGCTACATGTGATGACCGTCGACAATGTATAGGCGTATGCCTACCACCTTATTCCATGATTACTTATTCAGATAAAAGGCGGCAGTCTGTCGGGGTTTGTGAGATTGTAAGTCATGCACATTTATTTGTTTTGGGTTATTGTTTGTACCAGTATTTGGCAACGAATGCTATGCACTATCAATTTTTAAGGGTCATACGTGGGACCCACATTTGTGTAAGGGCCCAAGGCCTACTTTTGCGTAAGTGCCCAGGGCATTGGCGTAATGTACACCCCCGCATCTCGGAGGGGGTAAGGTTATAGGGGATCCGAGGCCTGACTGCTGCCAAGTACCATCCCTTCGTAAAATGCAACTTGGTGGCCCAAAAACCTGACTTTGAAGGGGGGCCCAAATGTTCTCCGTTACGCCACTGGCCCAGGTCCTACTTTTGCGTAAGGGCCCAGGGCCTCAAGAAGTCTTAAGACGTCCCTGTTAGTGAGCGATATTTTTTAATGTCACACTGTAAAGAAACTCGGGGGCTATTGAAGATGGACCTCGTAAATTTGAACCATGGTCAGACAAAGAAGACGACACCTGAGCTGGCACCCACTTCTCCTAACTACCTCACCACGCCAACAACAGGAGATTGTGCCAGACTTTAACGTGCATCAGCTGCTTTATATAACTAGTCTTCAGTGGCACTAGATTCG